GGGAAGGATTTCAAATTTTTGTCTAGCATTATTGTATTGTTTTTTTCGTTTAAAAGAGGGATGCCACGTCATTTTGTAACCCAACTTTGTCAAGGGACTTGGGTTATCTAGCATTATCCTTAGTTTTTATATACAGAACTCCTTCACCACCCATTGTGTGTACAGAATGCCTCCCTTGTACACAGCACAACCCTTTAATTTCGCACCTCGTTCGTGGGTTCTTGATTTCATATAATAGGAATTGTATACATATAATCGTAGGCTTTAAAAATCAAATTAATTAAAAGCAAATTTTATATTTTACTATAAATGATGTAGAATATGATTACTAACTAGAATAACTTTCTGGGAAGAATAGTACTATTCATCATTAATCTAAATGAATGGTATTACTCAAATACGAAGTAGTTTATTTCAGTCTTGAACTTGCAAAATATGAGACTCGGGCAATTCTCGTTTTCATAACTAAGAGCTTGCCCGGCAAAGTCAAAATTTAGAAGTTATAAACTTATTTATTTTGAAATTAATCTCTACTATGCTGTCATATTAGCAATGGTTTTTAGTATTTAGTTTTCTTAAAATTGTAAATCACTTGATTTTATATTGGTCTATGCATTTGCCAAGGTAGCCCGTCTAGCTCAGTTGGTAGAGCGCAAGGCTCTTAACCTTGTGGTCGTGGGTTCGAGCCCCACGGTGGGCGTGTGCAAAATTTTTTGCTTTTTTTTTTTTTTTTGAAATTGTTAATATATTAAAAATTAAAATTTAATTTTATTATATAGTTTCCGTAAAATTCACTAAAAATTTGTTATATCTTATTTAAACAACGAAAGCATTTAAAATTTGAAATTTTGAACAATTAAGCTAGTTTATTAAATTATTTAAATATTAATTTTACAATAACGAACGTTCTTGAAAAAAAAAATAATAGCTAACTAATTTAGATTATTACTATTATTGATACGCTATATTCAAATAAAATTAAAAGTTAATTTTGACGTAAACTTTTTAAAATTTCAAAGCAAGCACTAAATAAAAACGTGTAAACACAATTTAGGAATTTAGGAGAGCGAATAAAACTGCAAACGCATTAAGCCCTGACTCAGTTGAGTCGTCGAGAGCGAGTCATATCGGAGTCACCTGACTCAGTTGAGTCGTCGAGAGCGAGTGCACATTTGTAAACCACTTATCGATGCTTGCAAATATCAAATTGGGCATCGAATCTTTGTATCTCTTTGTTATCTAATCAAATCATCCACTTTACAATCTCTCATTATCTCAGATTCTCTTATGATTAAATCTATCATTTTCATCATGTTCAGGTAAAAAATTGAAACTCAATCCTAATGGGGGAAAATTAAATTATATGCCAAAATTTGGTTGTTTTAATAATTTCCATGCCGAAATCAGACCTTTTGCTCGGTAAAAATCTCCGTATCATTCGTATGTTGCCTAGTTTTTAAAATATACTTTACTTGGCGTGAGAAATGTTTATAGTTTTTTATTCTTTTCGTAAGAATTTAAACTTTATTTAGCGTATTTCTGTAGTTTTGGTTTTAGTATCGGCTTCTATAGTTGAATTTTATGTTCAGCTGCTTATTTTTGAAAATTCACATGGATTTAGGCTCAGGTATGTAAAAATAACCTCCTTGTTTTCCAGAATTTGTTTTTGCGTGATTCTTAGGCGAAATTCAAAGAGAAAAAAAAAATAAATTATGAATCGCTTTTTCCTTTGAGTTTTATTGATTTTACAATTGGAATTTGTTATTGAATTATTTAATTATTTTATGATGGCTTCTTATTTAGTTAAAAAGGTGGTTTTATGATAAAATAAGCTCCTTTGCTGCAGGAATACCTGGCGACGGTAGGTGTTTGTTCCGTTCAGTAGTTCGTGGAGCACATTTGAGAGAAGGAAAGCCGTCGCCATGCGAAAGCCATGAAAGAGAACTTGCTGATGAGCTTAGAGCAAAAGTAAAAATATATTTCCTTTTTCTCTTCCATGAATACCAAGATTTATTGTTCTGCTTTTTTGAGATTATATAAGTTACAGATGTCATTTGAACAGGATATTACGAGAACGAATTTTCAATGAATCATATCATTCATTAAGATGAAACAATGTTGCATTAGGCAAGAAAGGCATTGAACAAAAAGTTTAAAGATAATTACTTGAGAATCCTTTGGAAGGTCTCCATCCATTTTTTCTCCCAATTGCCTTAAGCCTGGGGAATTTTTCCTTCAGACGACTACTTTCTCTCTTGTTACAGCCATGATCATGCTTGGCAACTAATGCCTGATAGAAATGATAACTGGCTTACTTGTGATTATGAGTCAAATTATAATGTTGTACGGAAAAGAGACATTCAGTATTACTTTATTGGCATTTTCATGACTTACTATCGTGAGTTTTTTTGCGAGTGGAGAGTCCAATCAAATGAGGGCTCCTTTTCCAAATTGAGTGAAATAGGGTTCTACGAGGAAATCATGGATTTATGAGTTTACATTTCTGTTGTCACCTGAAGAAAGGATGCTTTTTTATGTTTGCAGGTTGCCGATGAATTTATCAAGAGGCGGGCAGATAGTGAATGGTAAAATATGTTTGCTTATACTAGATTGGCGTGAGTCATTTTTTTTGAGTTATTTTTATGACTAGTCAGCTATGTGCAGTTTCTTTAAAGTTTAACGGGAGAGTTGAAAAATTGAGACCATTGTACCATCTATCCTTATTTAAAAATTCAATAAGTATTCTGTCCATTGTTTGTTATTCCAATTTTTACTTCATTATTTATTTATTTATTTTTTATCTTCACATTGGTTTAGTCACTTGTTGAAGTCTGAATAACACTAAAGATCATAATATTAGGCACATAATTAAAATGCAGTGGAAAATCATATTTTGAAAATTCTACCTTGCATATTTTCCATCTCCAAGTCATTATGTCTGTTCTCAATCAGGTGCCCATATTATTGACATTTCAGGTTTGTGGAAGGTGATTTTGATACTTACGTTAGACACATGCGACAACCCCAAGTCTGGGGAGGGGAACCTGAGCTGCTCATGTCGTCACATGTTCTACAGTAGGTCTTTCTTTTCCAGTTTAGGGTTCCATCGGAATGGACTTGTTTTGCTACTAATATTTGACCTTGACAAATAGTTTAACGAAGACTAACATCTAATTTAGTGAGCTATCTGATATTTAGGAAGGAGTTCATTACCTGTTCAATCAGTCGGGAAGCTTTTATAAATGAAGACACTTCTATGCTTTAACTGCCACATTACTTGAATCGTTTGGTTAATATGAGATGGATTTCCCTACTCTCTCCCAATGCTCGAGTTTCTGTTTTACACTCTTGGCTGTAACCAACATTGCCATTAAATTTGGCCGTTCACTGGATTCTCATGACTAAACTACCAGTTGTACCTCATGCATTTTGCTCCTTACTATGAAGTCTGTGTAAATTAAGCTTAAATAGAGCGATTTTCCCATCACCTACTTAGTCTATACAGTGGAAGATAAAATAATCACTGCATTAATTCACTATAAACTCAGAATAAGAGGAAAGTTGGTAGAAATACTAATACAAGGAAAATTTATTGACCTTGGAATTTTCAGGGCACCCATAACAGTTCACATGTGGGATAAGAAGACCAATTGCCTCAAAATTATAGCTGAATATGGGCAAGAATATGGGAAGGAAAGTCCAATTCGCGTGCTGTATCATGGTTATGGTCACTACGATGCATTACAGAGCCCTTTTGGTAGTCCAAAGTCAAAACTGTAAGTTCTCTACCTTTCTTTTTATGAGACTGTGTTATTGAAACATATTTACATTATTTAATTCTAGCTGCAAATGAAAATTTTTGTATTCTTGATCAGTTGTATCATTTATTGATTCATAAATATTAAAATCGTCAGTGAATGTGTGGTTCTAATGTTTTTTTTTTATCTGAACCATGATTGCTAACATGAAGCTTGTCTGGAATTTGTTTGTTGTGTAGAAATGATTCCAAAATGTTGATTGAAAATACCTAATGGTTCATTTATGTTTATGACATCATGAACTTAACCGCATAATACTTACATTCCAAGACTAAACTTATAAGAACCTGATTTGAATTTGTGATGACTTTAACAATTGAAAGGAAATTATGAAGAAATTACGTATAACAGTGAAAATGAATTACAGCAAATGGCCAGCTTTCGAGAGGGAGCATCTTTCTACAATTTTACCTTCAATGTCTGCCTAAATGAAAATAGAACTCCCTCCCCTTATTTTTAGTGAGCTGGTGCCACACTTATTTTGCAATCTAGCCAAAATAACAACCTAACAATTAACAACAATTACATTATTTGGGCGCGGAAGTTTTAACCGGATTTCGACTGAGATTGCCTACTAATACAGCTCAAGAGGAAGGAGTGGGGCGTTTTTGTTTGTTTTTGAAGGAGTGATAAGTATCTGGAGCTGGCTGATGGAAAATCTAGGCTGCTGGTGGATTTGCAGCTGCTGCAAGGACCTGATCAAACAACAAAGAGCTGTCATTCAATATCTGATAGGCTGAAAATGTAATAAGGATGCAGGTGAATTTTATATTTGTATAGGATCTTTAATTTGTAATCAGAACAGAGAATTGAAAGTGTTATTCACTGAAATGAAAGACTTGAAAACTAAACGTATCCAAGGCATTTGAACTGATTTGGTTTGTTGACTTGTTTGCCTTACTGGTAGCTGTGGCCTGCCCTTTCTTTCCTCCAACATAGGTGAGCTTAATCGGGGGTCTACCAAGGAGTCCATATCGTCTTTTTATTTTTTCAACAACCACAAACTAGACAGTTTCCATGTAAGTTTTAAGTGAGCTACATGAATTCTTTTCTCCACTTTATTCTCTATGTAAAGAACCAACGCATCAAAACATTTGCAACCACATTAGGCAGAAGTTAACTTTGTTTCACCTCTCCTACTAGCGTTAATTTATCCCTTGACATTCACTGAATTTCTCATGTCGCTTTTCTCAAAAAAATGTCAAATTAACAGGTGCAAATGAAGTTTAGCCTTGTCTTTAGTTCTCTCTGTGCTGAATGTGGCTCCTGATTATTATTGTTTTTAACATTTCTTGTTCTACATCTACAATGTGGCCTTTTCACTCAAAGATTAGCTTGATTTAGAATTGTTTATCTTTTCTTTTTCAAGTTGCATGGTATGATGCAAAAAAAAAAACGAACTCGTATGCTTCTACGTGCTATTCTTGGATATTAACTGCTTTCTCCATATTTGATATATGTTTATGAAATTTGTATATGTTTTGATGTAAGGAACAATGCAAGCTATTCTGACCACTAATTTCTTTTCTTTTTTTTCCCCCCAGGAATAAGAGAAGGTGAAAGGAATTAAAATGGAATGGTCATTTTAATACTAAAATGATCTTTTAATTAAAAATTTCTTCAGGCTTGTGAAATTTCATTGTTTTGGCTCTCTGCAGCACCTGGCTATTCTCCCTTCAAAGAATGAAGATATGCAAAATAGGCAAAAAGAAAAGGAGATTGCTTTCTATTTCCTTGAAATTTAAATCATATTATCATTTTCTCAAATTATTTTATTGTAGCATGAACAAGTCGATTTCTGCTGTTGGGGTTGCGGAGTCGAGAAACTAAATACTTGCTGGTATTGTCGTGTAATTGATTTCTTACAAACATATAGATTTGGATGAAGTGAATGTAACAAATTAATACTAATTCTTTCATTAGAGAGATGGAAGACTTCTCTACTTTATTGTAGTTTGTTGATTAGCCATGAGTACATGTTTGATTGTATTTAAAAATTACATATAATGTTGACCTCAAAATTTTGTTCGATCGATATAGAGAACGCGTTAGAATGGCCCAATCATTGTTGGGGTGGGGCAATGGTGGTAGAAACTTCTATGCTCAAGTGAAAATTGTAATTTCTGTAGAAAGTTATAATGATAAAATATCAACTTGAAAAACATTGCATACCATAGAATGAGAATAATCTAAGTAATATAAAGAGAAAAATACAGATTTAGGCAAGAGTCATGTCACGTCTTGTTTTAATCAAGTCACCAATAACTTATGTGTTTATGCTCCGCTTTAATTGTAATATAGTCACTTGTAGGATTTCATTTTTTGTAGATTTTTTTGACAAATCTATCATATTTTGATATACTAGTCAAAGTTGAACATGTATTGTACGTTATTCTAAAATACTTTATAAGTGAATGTAAAAGTAATATTTGATACTAATTTGTTGGATGATTTGATATGTCTCGGACGAATTAAAGAAAATATAATTTAGCGTATAAATTTAAGAGAAGAAAATTGTGTTCAAATTATACTTTCAAAATTCAATTTTTATGATTCAAATTTTTTGTAATGATGAAATAAATGAGCAATCTTTTATATTACATTTGATACATAAAAATTAATTGTTAATACATAAATTCAAATACTCATTAAAATTTCTAGATACTTGAATATCAATAAATTCACCTATAATAACTCTAAATTTATGTAATTCAATATTCATCAAGTGAAAATTCATTGAATCTAGATTAATGTGAATGTTAATTAATTGAGAATTAAGGTCATCTCCAGCGCTGCACCAAATTTTACACCAAATCTTGCACCAAGTTAAAATTCATCTTCAACAATTACACCAAAAGTTAGACCAAATGAACAATGTTTAACCATTTTCTTCCCTTTTTTATTCTTTATAATTTATTTATTTAATTATTTTATAAATACATAAATTACTAAATAAATAATTACGTTAAATTACGAAAAAGATTAAATTCATTAATAAATATACAAAAATAGTATAATTAATAAAAACACTACAACAATGAAAATCGTATATCATGCCATTAGAGAATAGTCCAAAGCAATTTGAATTTGAATATTACGATATTATGAAGTCGCAAAATTTTTGCAATTTAATTCTCGAAATTCATATGTTCTTCCCACAAATGATCGATTAATGCATTTCGAATTTTAGGTATCATTTTATTTAAATAAAATAAAATTATCGTATGTATGTCGTTGTTTAATATATTTCATGTTAACTTTAATAAATAATCGTGTTTGTTATATTTTAAAGTTTTTTCTTCTTTTAATTAATTTATTAATTATTATTTCTTACATTTTTAATTTATTTTAAATGCAAATAATAATAATAATAATAATAATAATAATAATAATAATAATAATTTATTGTATTAAAAAATATATAACACAAATGAAACAACTACTCTTCATCAATTATCTGGAAAGGAGAAGAAAATGACAAAATAGACTTTCACCACTTTACATCAACATAGGGATGACAATCGAGCTCGTCGGCTCGGAGACACCGAGCCTCATTTTTGAGAGTTGGCTCGAGCTGAGCTGGCCTGTATTTAAAAAAAAAAAAAGATGAAAAATCTGCTGCCAAGCTGCCAAATAGGTAGCTAAATTGTCTTAACCGACAGCTTTAAGGCAGCTCACTTGCTGCCTGTTGGCAACAGATTTGCTGCCAACAAGCAGCTATAACAAGCTGCCTGTTTAGCTGCCAAACAGGCAGCAAGAGGTATATAGAAAAAAAAATTCCAAAAAGCGAGCTTGGCCCGGCTTGGCTCAGTAAAGCCTGAGCTGAAAGCTCGGGTCGAGCTTTAATTTTCTGACTGAGCTTTTGCTGGGCTCTGCTCGAACCAAAACAAGCCCGCCTTAGAAAATCTCGAGCCAAACTCTAGCAAAAAATTTTGGCTTGCGAACCGGCTCGGCTCGACTCGACTCATTGATATCCCTACATCAACATGGTGCATAGTGCTGCATTGGAGCAACTTTGCATCAAAAAATGGTGCAATTTGGTGTTGGCATTAGAGATGCCCTAATAACTCAAATTTCATAAATGACAATAATTTTGTAATATTTATTACATCCTTCTTTGAGTCCCATTCTTGTCAAAAAAGTACATTTTTGAGTAATGTATTGATGAAAAATGTGTGATTAAAAATAAAAAAAATCATGAATTTGAGCGTAATATTATTTTGTTGAAGAATGTGTTGTCGAAATGGGATCAAATCACTATTCAAAAATGTATTTGGATGAAAAATGTGGCTCAAACAAGGGTTACATATAAAAAACGAAAAGTAAGATATTATTGAAATAATTTAATTATAGGGTGGTTAAAATAGTCCAAAAATTAATTCTCCTCGCATGTGACATTTTAATATATTATAGATTTGCTGACAATTCTATCAATATAATATTAATTAGACTATTTGAACGTTTGAGTAGGGCAAGTAGGGTAAAAATTTATTTTCTCCAAGTTAGTTTTACCTTTGATTGTCAAAATATTTCACATGCTACACCAATGGTAGAAGGGCGAAATGAATATTTCAACAAAAAGCCACTAATGTTGACTTTCGTATTCGTTTGTCACTAGTAGGAAATGATCATTATTTTTGCATTACATAAGCAAATGTAATGCAAAAATGGAACCCCCTTGGCTGTTGCAATTAATCGATTTTTTAGGAAATAGTGCGTCTAGACAAAGGTATAGGGTTATTTGAGCTCTATTTTTTTTTCCTCAAAAAATACATTTTAAAATGATATTATGATAAAAAATATATGGTTGAAAAATAAGAAATTTTTTTAGATTTACGTGTACTATTATTTTATTGAAAATGTGTTGTTGAAATAATATCAAATCACTCTTGAAAAATGTATTTTGATGACAAAATAGGACTCAAACAAGGACATAGTGTGATCTACTTGACTTGTGACTTCGAGTGGACTCAGAGGTATCAAGAAGGATTGTCAATTGTTCAAGTCATATTTAAGCTATGTCAAATAATGGTGTATCACATCTTTTAAGTAGTAAGTTTTGCTGATAAAAAATAAATTTAAAAAGTAAAATTTACCTATCACAAATGAATAAACGCAATATGCACCTCAACAAATGGACAAGACTAATGTTTCGAGTGAGCAAATAGAACATGTTCCCCCCATTAGCCCGAACAAGCAAGTCCTCTCAATCCTCGACGAGTGCAACAACTTTAATCACCTCAAACAACTTCAATCCCATGTCATCACTTTCGGCCATGGCTATCAAATGGGTGATCCGACCCCAAAAGATTTCAAAAGTGGATAAGAGGGAATGTTTTCATTGGAATTCAAATTCATAACTTCCCTAACTTCCTACAACTCTCAAATAACTCTTTACAACTTCGTAATTGAAGTTATGAAAAAAGAGGAGGAAAGAAAATAATAGAAATTTGTATGGAAAATGACTCAAAAATAGAAAAATGCCTAGAACCACATATATGTTATGAAAACTCACAAAAATCGGCATGGATAATAATCTCATTCCATTGTGATTAGGATTGAGACCACTGAAGTGCTAGAAAATGCAAAATTTGATGTTTGGAAAGTAACGTAATTCAATTACATAAAGATCTTGAAATTCATCAATTCAAGTAAGAATTTTTTACCCGAAATTTATGATATGCATATGTTTTTCATAGTAAACCTCTCAAATATTGCCTACGCCTGGTACATTTTCAATTACTTCAACTCCCCCAATATTTATCTGTAACCACGATGATTATTGCATATGGTACACTATGTGATCATACTTCATTTTTGATGAAATTACTCGAAACCTAAGGAGTTTATACACCCTATAATTTTGGAGTTTTGCCTTGAAGTCTTTAAGCTTTATGGGACTCAAATGATGCATACCCAGATATAGAGATTGGGTTTTCGGCAATACAAGGTTGTGAAAACATCACTTTTGAATGCCTATTGGAGTATGTTGAAATATTTTTTGCAAAAAAAAAAAAAAAATGTATGATGAAATGTCTGAAAGGAATATTGTTTCATGAACTGCATGTTGAGAAAATTTTAATTTATCATGTAGGTTTACATATGTAATCAATTGTGTATGAGGCTATTTTAAAATTAAGCAAAAAATTAAAATGATCTAATAAAGAATTAAATTGTTGATCTTAGGGGATCTAAATAAAGTATGGACCAGATTATATGTGTAGAGATCAGATTCATTTAGAATTGAAATACATCTGAAAATTATACATAAGGTTATGATCCCCAATTTATATGCAACTTCTCATTCTTTGTATCATCCCGTTAACTAAAGAATGCAAGAAAAATCATATTGAAGAGGAAGATTCAATACCCACAATCAAGAATCAAGAAGAAGATATTGAAGAATCAAAAAGCAAAACCAAGAACAAGAATCAAAAAATCAAATGAGGCAAAATTCAAGATAAAAGTAAGAAGCCAAATATGAAAAAATTGCAGTTCAAGACTCAAAATTCGAGATCCATAATCATGATCCAGTAATAAAGAATCATTTCCAAAGAATTAAGGTATGTCCCGCGTTACTAATTTTTTGGTGATTTGACATGGAGGATCTTGGCAATAAAAGAATTTAGGTTTTCAAGTTCTAAAGTTTCTAGTTTTGTGAAGTTTGAAGTCCCATAAAAATTTCAACAAGTGGTATCAGAGCCGACTCTATATTAAAAAATTGGAAAGAAGGAAGAGTTTTGTGGTTGAAATTCAGATAGTAAGTTTTTGGAAT